AGGTAAACAGAAATCCCTTCATAAAGCACCAGCAGTGTTTAAAAAATAAGCCTCCATTCATTTTTATTTTTTGTGGGTTTTGCTTAAAGATCTCAACACCGAAAAATTCCATCATGGCTCCGAACTGCACCCATGCATCGAACCACCATCTTTCCATTTTCTTCACACTATAAACACTGCATCATTTTGCTGCTTTATCAAAATGGTTTATTTCAGGAAACTTTTTCCACCTTTCTGAATGGAAAGAGGTTTTCACAAATGTTTTTAACTCATCGTTCTAGAATCAAAGGGCACCTACACCGACTGCTCTCAAAATGTGAACTGGTTTCTTTGCCAACCCTGTGTCACTTAGTGAGGACCTGACTCAGTCCCTACAGGGTATCTGTCAGTGGGCATCATGGTATGAGTTACAATTTGCAAATTTAGGACAGTGGGTCATGCAGCGAAGGGGCTTGCACGGTGGGAAGGGATGCACCTGCCTCTCCACGTACCCAGCTATACCTCATTCACAGCTCCTTGTGAGTGTGTGCACATGAAATAAGCCGAGGGTATTATTTTTTTTATGTTCATGAGTCTTGTAATTAAACCGTGATTCCTGAAAGGTGTAGGTTTTATTACTAGGAGATACCACCGACATTTTCCAGTAAAGTACCGCAAAATGCTTTTCTGTCTACCTTGCTATTAACTTTTGGAGCTGTATTTAGTAAAAATAAATCAAGGCTATCAGAGCAGTTCAATAAGAAAGGTTACTGCTGAGAAAAAGGACCCTATTTTACAAGTGACAACGTAGACAGGCGTAACAGATTGTATATGTACTGGAAAAAGAAAATGTGTACTAGCGAAACATCCTTGTCTAAATAAACATCACTGTTTTCATAACCTAGAACATGAAGGAAGATTCTTCCACGAGCTGGCTTCAGGACGGCCAGGGCTCAGTGCAAAGTTAACAGTGCTGTTACTATGGCAACCTAATATTGTTACCTTCATCTTTAAGAGCCTGCACATTTAAGCTGGGGATAGTGTTTCTTGACTTCTGTGAGGCTCTGGCAGGGGGAGAGGAAGCATTTTCAATATATATGCCCCTCTTTTACAAAAAGGAAAAAAAAAAATCGTTGTGGGCCCTAACATGTACTATGTTGACAAAAAGGCCAGATCAAATGGATTTGAGAAATAAGCCCAATTCAAGGCTGGCTCAGCCCTCCACAGGGCCTCCCAGGGAAAGGAATTCCTTTATGTTCTTGGAAGCCCTTTTCTAGAAAAGCCATTCCATTCATACCTTTGTAGAGCAATGGGCTGGGTGTGGAGGGCAGCGGAGGGTATCTGTAAGAGCCTGTATTTCTCCCCCGCCCCCGCCTCCACCCCTTTTATCCTTTTAAAAGTCCTATCAGCCCTGCCTTCAGCCCTTCCGCCCTGAGTGGGGGAGGTTTAATATGGTCAATGGATCTTGTATAAAGTCTACCTAAGTTTTAATTTACCCCAGCTATAAGACGGTTAAGGTAGACTGGGAGGGCTGCTACAGATAGAGTGGGAAATGAAGAACATTTGCAAATAAATGTCACAAAATCACAGTAGCTTGGAATTTTAGTGAATCACAGCCCTTGTGTTATCTAGAATGCATTATGCAAGCTGTTCCTAAACTTAAGTATGGCATATAAGGTTAAAATCTTGGAGGAAACACTGTTCAGATAAAAAGTCAAGCAGTTTCCACAAAAGAATAAGAAATATCCTAAAAACAATCTAGAAGTTGTTACATTAAATTTATTTCTCACCTCAGTGAAAAGGGTTTTTGTTTTTGGGTTTTGTTAACTTTCATTCTTTGGAGTAATAATATTTCTCTCGTGTACAGCGCTGAATACATTTGTCAATATGTCAAAAAAAAAAAAAACACCTGGCTTCTTAATACTTGGAAATACATAAATATTCCTTACTATGTAAAACACTTTATTTATTTTGTAAAAATATGTTTAAATATGAATAAAAATACAGTAACCCAAAGTAGTTGCCTACTTTTAAAAATGAAACTTGTAAAAAGAAGAGTGAGCCCAAACCACATAGAAAGTCTTAGTTTATTTTGGTAGATTTACTGTTTATAGGCATTGGTTTAAAGTGATTCTTTTCAGACATTCTTTGAAAAGTTAAAACTGCGGAGGCTTCCACTTTGTTTTATTTCAAATATGCATAGTGATTAACGAGGAATAAGGATTCTCCCATGTTCTGCCAGTTAAGAGCAAACAGACCTGGAGAATGGAAGCCCATCCTGCCTCCCTTTTACATCTGAAGCTTGGGGTGAGGCTGGCTCCTCTCTTTGTTCCCAGACTCTAGGGCAAAAGGGGAGCATGCTGTCCCTGCTGTGGCTTGGGGGACCCCCGAGGCTGCGCTCTGCTGCCCGTGCTCCCCATGGGCCAGTGCACAGCACTCCGGTCAGTCACTTGCTCTCACATCAGACGTCAGCCTGCGGCAGTGAAACTCAACCGTGATTTTACTTCGAACACAAATCCTTCCTACTTCCACCACTCCCTGGCAGACTTCCCAGTGCCAAAGGGCACTGCTGGGGCAGGGGTAGGGACAGGAAGCCCAGTGACTGCTGTGTTCTATTTTAGGGGCCCCTTCCCCAAGAGTCCCCCTGAAATCTGTTACCAGCCTGGAAAGGAGGATATCTTGCTTTTACAAAACATGGTCAATACTCAATGCACAGCCTCTAAAGCCAGGGATAATCCAGTGTTCTAAAAGCACACGCCAATCCTGAGTTTAGTGACCACATTTTAAAGATCACGAGGAAAATGCCAAGTTTCCATTAAACCTTTAAACTCCTTGAGATCCTAGTTGCAGGGTGCATACTATACAGCCCAAACTTGGGAGAGGGGTATAGCAGGTAGACAGTTGCCCTAACACTAACAGCTATTGGGAAAATGCCTTTATTCAGCTAATTCTATAAGAAGCAGAGTTGCGAGAGTCTTTGGTTCACGTGAGGCAAAGTCAGGTTTATGAAAAACGCGGCCTCTGCTTGAAGGCTGCCTCATCTCCCTCAAGACAACTGGGTCTCCTGCGGGTGAGGGCAGCCTGTTGGAAAGCAGAGGCACAGCAGGATGCCAGGAACATCTCCACATCCTTTGACAAGGCCACACTTCATTAGTTTTAATTTGCAGAAAGGAAATTAAATGATAACATTTTGTTCCCCAAAGCAGAATGGCCAGAATAAGACTTCAGCTTAAAACAAAACATAGCATGTTTTTCATTAAATAACCCCCAAAGAAATTCAAAAAGTGATGATGGCAGCTCTGAGAGAGGGCTGGCCTTATATTACAAAGTCTGAGAAATGAAACTTGCGTCGTTAGCCTCGACATCTTTGCCCTGGGTGATATTTTGCAGGTGCCCTCTCAAGGGTGAGTCCATTTTGTAATTTGGGGGTGGTGTAGGCTTTTATTTAAGCTTCAAACTAATTTTGAAAGAAGGCTTGGGCATTTGGAGAAGAGTGTTTTCTTTTTTGTTTTTTTGAGAAAAATAATTCTAATTGAAGCCTTATTTCCAAAAATTACTTTTGAAGTTCTTTTAATGTTTCATTTCCAAAAAATACGTATTAGGTATTTTTCCTTCCTATGGGGGCGTTCTATGCCTGACTAAAGGTAGACAGATCTTATACTAAAAACCGCAAGTCTCTGGAATTAGCCTGACTGGGTAAGACCGGGATACAGAGGGTCCTAGTTTACAGTGGAGGACTTTTGTTCAAAGCTGAAAGCTCCATCAAACTTTCTTTCCATTAATTTCAGCCGGGACTGGCAGGAAGAGAGAAAGCTGGACGAAAACTGGCCTTTTAAAGCTGAAAGGTAATGGGGATGATTCACAAGTTCAACAGATAGGAGCGCCAAGGAAAAAGCCTGGTGTCCATCTGGGGATAGCGAATGCGTATCAAAATGCTTCCTTTCTTTTGTTCTTTCATGAGGCCGGTAGCACGTCGGATTTTCAATGTCTTCTTTTAAAGCTACGTGTGCACACACGCACGCACATACATAAGCGGGCACTCACGTACACAGCCTCCCTCGGAACTGATGGTGTTTAGTATCGGTAACATTTTCTCCTTGGTAATATGAGGTAAAGGTGGGGGCTGGCGAGAAAAGCTATGACTTCTGAGTAGAATGCCATGACTCTCTATTCTGTGAACTGCAGAGTCTTGCAGGAATGCTCCACATTTCAGAGTGAATCTGACACTGGCTTTAAAGCTCCAAGTCCTCCCTTGTATGTGGCATGAGTGTGCCTTCATCTCCAGCTATCAGAGCCAAGTCACCACCTCCCATCCAAGTGATGCTTCATCAGACATTTAAGGATTCTGAACTTGATTCCGTCTCTTCGCAATAGGCAGTAAATTCAAACCTACTTAAGAAAGCAAGTCCCTAAGTAAGGACATTTAAACTTCTGTAGGAAAGGAGGGCTCACTGAATAATGTCAAAGCAATTAACTGATTTCCTCTACAAGGTCATTGCAACGACACCAGTTGACTGTATCTGTACAGGCGTTTAGACTTGGCCGTGGGACCACATCACAGGTGGAGAGCAGCTCGTCCCTTTCCTTCATTAACAAAAACATGGAACAATGACCGCGAGCCAATGCATGCTCTTAGTGTTAAATACCTCCCAAGATGCTCAGAAACAGGACACGGTACTTCTAACTCAACACTGGCCTGGGCTCGAGAGCAAATCTTGGTTTGTTTTTTCACAGTCTAGGGGTAAAGGTCTCCACTACTGGGAAAATACGTGAATCTTCCCACTGCTGTTTCTTTTTTTTTTTCTTTCTGAGACTGAGTTTCACTCTCGTTGCCCAGGCTGGTGTGCAATGGCACGATCTCGGCTCACTGCAACCTCTGCCTCCCAGGTTCAAGCAATTCTCAGTCTCAGCCTCCAGAGTAGCTGGGATTACAGGCATGCACCACCATGCCCAGCTAACTTTGTATTTTTAGTAGAGATGGGTTTCTCCGCATTAGTCAGGCTGGTCTTGAACTCCTGACCTCAGGTGATCCGCCCACCTTGGCCTTCTAAAGTGCTGGGATTACAGGCGTGAGCCACGGCACCCAGCCTTCCACTGCCATTTCCACATGAAAACTCCCCCTGACAATAAACATAAGTCGAAGTCCCAGAAGGGAGAGTGACTCCCACCTGTGCCAGGGTGCTCCCTAATCTAAATCTACGTGCCAACCGTCTATCCCAGATTCTCCTCAAACACCAAAGGAAACGACAACAAAACAAACCTAAGAAAACAGAAACAGAATATCCAGATGTGTGGACACGGCCAGGCGGCCGCGATGAAAGCAGAATGCTCACTGCGGTGGTTCGCACTGGGCTCGGACCCCAGGCAGCCCAGCGGCATCCCGCCTGCTGCCCAAGCGCCAGGCCGGGTGAGTCAGGAGGGCAGGCCCAGGCCGGTCTCAGGGACATCAGCACTACTGCCGTCTGGGGAGGATGAGGTTTCTCAGCATGTCGAAGGAGTTGCCATCCGGGTGCACAGTCACAACCTCGCTGCCCTCCTGGTGAACCTGGAGGAAGCCAGAATCGTCCAGGCCGACGATGGATGCCTTTGGTCCCTCTGGGCCGCCCAGACGGACTTGCTGACCACTGAAAAGGAGGAACAGCACGTCACAGGCGGGCTTAGGACAATGAGCTCAATAATAATCCATGGTGAGAGGGCTGGGTGCTGGGGAGGGGCTGAGGCTCGCTGAGGGGAAGAGGCAGCCCAGGCTGAGCCTGATTTCCTTCCACCCAGGTGAAAGTTTCAATAGCCGCTTAAGTAACCAGCAGGGTGCAAGTTCAACAAGGATGGAAGGTTCTTCGCACACTGTCACTCCTCCTAATTCTGGTCATCTGCGGTCATGGTTCGAACCGCTTCTTCACGTCCAGCGCTTTTAAGAAACACTGTGTTACTCTAGGTCACTTGGCTGAGGTTGGAGGAAAAGAGGCTGAGCTGGCAAACAATGTTTCATCGTATAAAACAGAGTTGGGTCATGTCAGCCACAAGTGAAACTCGTCCTGATCCTACTTCTTTTGAATATTTTCCAAATGTACTCAAGTCATGTCCTTCTTAACAGCTTTCGAAGCATAGAATTTTCCCCTGAAGTTTTTATTTTGAAGAATTTCAAATCTACAGAGCTGAAGGAATAGTACAATAAACCTCATATTCTCTTCCATTCTCACACCAAACGAAAATATTTTCCATATTTGCTTTCTCTGTTCACACATAAACACATATTTTTTTTTCTGCATCATATAAAAATAAATTGCAGCTGGGTGTGGTGGCTCATGCTTGTAATCTTAGCACTTTGGTAAGCCAAGGTGCTTGAGGCCAGGAGTTCGAGACCAGCCTGGGCAATACAGTAAGACCCTGCCTCTAAAAAACAAATTTGTTTGAATTATCGGGGTGTGTGGCTCACTCTTGTTGTCCCAGCTACTTGGGAGGCTAAGGCAGGGGGATCAGCTGAGCCCAGGGGTTCAAGGTTTTAGTAGTGAGCGATGATGGCACCACTGCACTCCAGCCTGGGTGACACGGCAAACCCTCTCTTAAAAAAAAAAAATAGAAAACAAATGGACATTTAAAAAGTTTTTGAAAAGCTACAGGCAGGATGACACTTTCTGCTTAAATATTTTAGCATGAATCTCCTGAGAACAAGAACCTCCTACAAAATTATAACAGCACTAACCATGATCACTCGGGACTCGGTCTGGATACAATAACCTTATCTACCATGTGGTCCATGTTCATGTCGTTCCCACTGTCCCCTCCATGTCCTTCGTGGCTATTTCCCTCCATCCAGGATCTATGGATCACACTCTTCACATTTAGATGGCATGCCTCTTTAGTCTTCTCTAATCCCAGACAATTCACCAACTTTTCTTTGTCCGATTGCTTGTGTGAGGACACTGACATTTTTCAGGACACAGGCCTGATGTCCTAACATCAGTGTGTGGTCCCCAGACTTCAGCTGCAGGAGAATCTCCTGGAGCATCTGTTATGACACAGGGTGCTGGCCCGGCCCTGGAGTTTCTGATGCTTGAGGGTGAGGCCTGCCTGAGCATCTCGCTTTAAGAACCACTGTTACCTAGAAGGTTCAACAATTTAGATGTGTCAGATCGTTTCCTCACACTTAGAACCAGATTAAACCAATGTTAAATTCTCTTCACGGTTTTTGGTTCTTCCCACTTCATCCCACCAGGAGGCATAAGATGCCAGTTTGCTCCATTACTGGCGATGCTAACTTGGTCAAGATGGTGTCCATGCGGTTTCTCCAGCAGAGGCACAGAAGATAATCATTTGGACCACTGCTCAGCCCCTCATTTTAAGACACTGAACTACTGATACTAAGGTACTAACGAAGGGTTGAAAAGAATGAAGAAGAGCCAGCACTGACCTGTGGACCCAGTATCTGTAATAAAGGGGAAGGACGCTGTTGGGCCCTTTGTCCTGAAACGCGTCAATCAGCCTCTCCAGCACAGTCAAGACTCTGGCGATGAGATAATCGGCTCTTAAGGGCTTCAGCACTGCCTTGTGTTGCTTGTTGTATTCTGTGATGAGGTCGTTGATGCAGATGGTAGGGTTACTGTTCGTCACATTAAATCCACAGCCTGGACAAAAACCAACAATTTAGCAGCTAAGCCTGCTGATGGCACCACACATTCCTTTCTGCCACCTGGAAAAAGTGACAGTCCTGTCAACTTCCTGCTTCCTTGAACTCATTTCAGATTTTCCGTCTCTAGCCACTTGAAGAGTGACTTCTATCTTTCTGTCCATCTTCCTTTTTGTCCTTCTTTTACTATTCTTGTTCAAACTAAAATCATCTCAGCCTTACTGCAAATAAGTTGGGAAAAAGAAAGCCACATTTGATTCCGTTTAATTCAACAGAAACTGTTAAATATGGGACAAAACGTATGAGTGTTGCCTCTGGAATAAGTGGTCTACCAAGCATTGTAGCTCTGCACTGAGCCCAATCTAGAAGAATATCTCTTCCTTCTCCTACTTGAACAGATCACATGGTTGAAAACAGAGAGTTGTATGAGTTGTATTCAGGACTTGGGGAGTAAACTCTGGATTCAGACATTTCAAACCTTGATAAGGGCATAACCCTAGATTGCATGTTTTACTACCTTTTCCTTGGAAGTCTTTGGTGCTAAGGTTAAGCTGTTGGCAAGACACTGACCCACGCTCAGTGGCTTTTTTACAGGCTCCTAAACCAAGGCTTCCTGAGAGTTCCTGGGGTGGTGTCTGAACAGGCTTCTCTGTGCAGTAACTTAACACCACTATTCACTGAGGGAGGGGCTGTGTCTTCAGAACAGCTGACCTTCAGTATTCAGCAGGGCCCTGAATTGACCTGCAAGAGGTCTTCAGTAAGAAATGAAATACTGCAAAAACTAAGTCGTAAGAAAACTACCATGTTTTCAGTGACTCCAAGAAAAAAATCCCTAAGACATTCGCCTCAGACAGAACGATGCCATTTCTAACAACAGCACTCTGCGGCAAGTGCTCTGCCATTTCCAGTGTGAAGGGAAGGATTGAATGGTCTCAGATCTGAAAACAACATATTGGCTATTAAAATACAAAGCAATGTCAATTACCTCCGGAAAAAACCAAGCAGCTACAGCAACAGGGCAGAATTTGCAGTTCATTCATTCATTGATTCATTCAATACAAACAGTATCTGAAGTGCTTGCTGAAGGTAAGGCATTAAATTAAGTGCTATACAGCACTGAAAACTCTCCCCTGCACTCAGAACACGGGAGTTCCCAGGATGAACAGCAACACTGACTACTGGCAACTAAGGCTATGCCCTAAGGACCAGTGGGTACCCCTGCTGGCTACTCTGAATCCCCAAAGTCAGAGACCCCATCCCATGGCCTTCAGAATTCAATAAAAACTATGAATTCTCACCAAAGGGAAATGTTTCATTCCGCTACTTTTTTTTTTTTATTTATTCATTTATTTTTTGAGACAGGTTCTCACTCCCATTGCCCAGGCTGGAGTGCAATGGCGTGATCCTAGCTCACCGCAGCCTCAACCTCCTGAGCTCAGGTGATTCTCCTATCTCAGCCTCCCAAGTAGCTGGGACTACAGGCATGCGCCACCATGCCCAGCTAATTTTTTGTATTTTTAGTGGAGACAGGGTTTCGCCATGTTGCTCAGGTGGGTCTCAAACTCCTGGACTCAAACAATCCACCCACCCCAGCCTCCCAAAGTGCTGGGATTGCAGGTATGAGCCACCGCACCCGGACTATTTTTTATTTTTGAGACAGGGTCTCACTCTGTTAGCCAGAATGGAGTGTAGTGGCTCAATCAGAGCTCACTGCAGCCTTGAACTCCTGGGCTCAAGTGATGCTCCTGCCTCAGTCTCACAAATAGCTGGGATTATGAGCTCAAGCCACTACATCTGGCCTTCGCTTACCCCATGTTGATCATCCATGAGCCTCCTTGTTATCTGGCCCCTACCTAGGAATCTCTGCATCGACTGCAATTATTCACTTAAAGATAGGAAATGGAGGAGGCTGGCGTGGTGGCTCACGCCTGTAAACCCAACACTTTGGGAGGCTGACATGGGTGGATCATAAGGTCAGGAGTTCGAGACCAGCCTGGCCAACATAGTGAAACCCCATCTCTACTAAAAATATCAAACAGTTAGCTGGGCATGGTGACACGTACCTATAATCCCAACTACTCGGGAGGCTGACGCAGGAGAATCACTTAAACCTGGGAGGTGGAGGTTGCAGTGAGCCAAGATCATTCTTTTTTGCAATTCTGGAATTGCACTGCATTCCAGGCCAGGCAACAGTACAAGACTCCATCTCAAAAAAAAAAAAAAAAAAAAAAGATACGAAATGGAGCTTTAAGGGTATGAAGTAGCTTGCCCAGAGTGACACTGCCTCTTGGTGGCAGAGCTGGTAACACAGGCCTGTATTCCCTGGCTGGCACTTGGAACACACAGTTACATGTTTTTTGACCATTGCTGGTTTCTGAACACAGATAAGGGTTGACTGCCACAGAGTGAGGCTGATGGCTGGATGGCTAGGAACCTCAGGACTTCTGAGGTTGCCTCTGAATCCATCTTTCTGCCTGAATTGGATGTGCTAAGGTGAAACAGGGATTCTTTACCCCACCTGGACCAGCCTGGAGCTTCTTCTGAACGAAGCTCAGAAGAGTTCAAACGACGACAACTCTTTCATGGCCTGGGAAGGTCACGATAAGAATGTAAGACACCAGGAGAACTATTTTAGAAATTAACTTGGGCCAGGCACAGTGGTTCACGTCTGTAATCCCAGCACTTTGGGAGGCTGAGGTGGGTGGATCATGAGGTCAAGAGATCAAGACCATCTTGGCCAACATGGTGAAACTCTGTCTCTACTAAAAATACAAAATTTAGCTGGGCGTGGTGGCACATACCTGTAATCCTAGCTACTTGGGAGGCTGAGGCAGGAGAATCGCTTAAACCTGGGAGGCGGAGGTTGCAGTGAGCCAAGATCATGCCACTGCACTCCAGCCTGGTGGAGACTCAGTCTCAAAAAAAAAAAAAAATTAACTTTTCTTTTTCTTATTACAGAATGGTACGTTAAATGTTTATTTTCACCATTTTGAATGCAATGAGCAGCAGGAGTGTGGAAGGATGTAATACTACTTAGATGTGAGTGATCACATCACATTTGGTTTGATGTGATACCACTTTGGTGCTTTCCATGGTCACACACAGAAAATGCTAAACTCTGTGAAGTGCTTTCGACCAATCTCTCTGCATCTATATCCTGCTCCCAAAACTACAAGACTTAAAGTAATCTCATATGATAGTCTGCTCTTGCTAGTGTAGGCATGCATAAACCGTTTTTATTTTTTATTGTTTTATCAATCTAAAAATGCTGGAGGAAAGGTTTTAGAAACTTACCAATAAGTATATAAAATGTTTCTCCCATGAGTGTTGAGTTAACCAGAACTCCGCCGATCTTCATGAGGTCACTGTAATAAATATCGTTGGGCCACTTCACTCGTAAGTTGATATCCTAAAGGGAAATCTGCACGTTAATTAAGCAGTCTCAGGACACAAGGGGCCCAGGCAAGTCACGGAGCTAAGCGAAGATAAGCAGAAGCTGAGGTAACATGGACCTCGTCCTCCCGTCTTTTTCACATAGCCAGTCACTTCTTTGGGACAATCCAGTATTGAAGTACCTCTTGGGGCTAGGAGATAAGGTAAAATACCTGAAGAACATGGTCTGCATAAACCCCAGCATTCTTCCCCACCCCTCAGCACCATTTCTCATCTTCCAAAACACTTTCTGAAGATGCCTACCTTGTCAATTAATTCATTACATCAGTATCAACCATCACCACGACCATGGAGTAGCTAACTAACGTGCTAGGGCAGAGGGTGGGAGAGAACAGTAATCTCAGGGTGCGTCTCCCTTCAGGAACCCATGCTTGAGAGACAAAGATGGCCCTGAATTAACAAAGGTCATAAAAGGCAGGTAGAAATGTCTTAAGTACAATGCTGTGGGCAGGGTGCGGTGGCTCATGCCTGCAATCCTAGCACTTTGGGAGGCCGAGGCGGGCAGATCACGAGGTCAGGAGTTCAAGACTAGTCAGGCCAACATAGTGAAACCCCGTCTCTACTAAAAATACAAAAAATTAGCTGGGTGTGGTGGTGTACACCTGTAATCCCAGCTACTTGGGAGGCTGAAGCAGGAGAATTGCGTGGACCTGGGAGGCAGAGGTTAGAGTGAGCCAAAATCACGTCAACAGTGCAAGACTCCATCTCAAAAAAAAAAAAGAATGCTGTGAAGCCGCAGAGGAGTAATTCACTTTAGCAAAAGCCTTGCAGAACTGCTAATGGTCCCCTGGGGTAATGGAAACTGACTTGTCAGGTGGCCTATTGCCTCTGCATCTTGAATAGTGTGATCTGGGGGGGCTCTGCCTGTCATCAGCTCACAGAATGGACCAAGAGTGGACAGTGTCTTGAACGAGGCCACCCAGACCTCTGCCTATCCACTGTGACTCTGAAGTTGGGACACAGAGACTGGGCTAGCTGAGTGGGTGTCAGAAGCAGCAGGTCTTCTAAAGCTGGGGCTGGCAGCCAGGCTGTGCCATGGGTGGGTGAAGGAAGCCTATCTGGAGATGTGAGGCTGGAAGAGAACATTCAGCAAAATAAAGCTCACGGACCACAGAGTAGCCGATGTCTTCCCACATCGCGGGCCAGACATGGCCCTGAGCCCCTTCTCAGCACTAGTCAACATGTTAATTACACCCAGCCCATGTGTTGGTGCTAGCCCATCCCTAGGGAACACAGGGAGAAACAGAAGCTTAGAGCGATTATGTGGCTTGTCTGAGGTTCCATCACTTGAAAGCCGCAGAGCTGAGATGCAAGCCTTTCTGGGTGACAAATCCTATGCTACGCGGCCTATTGCTTCCATGAAATCCCCTTCCTCCTTCCAACAGGTTTCTTTTGACCTCGGCCAGTTAGGGCATATTAGACGCTCATCTGCTCTAAAACAGGAGTTCAGGCTGAGAAAAAAAATGCAGGAATAGGAGGGGCAGAGAAGAACCAAAAGTCTAAGTCAATAAAGTATGGGGCTTTGCAATGACCCTGAACTGATAAACAGCTTCACGTTTCTTTTCTCTCCAGAACGAGGATTCCCATTGGGAGGCGTGGATTTGGCAATACCGGGAGACTTTCTTGGTTGTCACAGCCTGAGGGAGTGCTACTGGCATCTAGAGAGTAAAGGCCGTGGATGCTGACACATCCTTTAAGGCACAGGAACCCCCGACGACAAAGACGCCAGGACCCACATATCAATTGTGCCAGGCTGAGAAAGTCTCCTCTAGGAAACCTGTGACTGGAAGACTCTGCTCTTCATCACTGTCCCTGGTTCCCTTTCCTGCTCCTCTCTCGCCTTGCCGCATCCCCCTGTGCCTGCCACGTGGCCAGGGGAATGAGCCCCTGCCTTGGCGGCAAGAGGGCACCTGTGGAGTTCCCAGAGCTGTCAAGCTCCTCCACCATGTGCGCAGCCGCTGGTGCGCAGCCGCTGGTGCCTAGCGGGCTCTGCACGTGGGTTCCGGCTTGCCTTCACATCTTCAAATCACATCAGTTCATGAAGTAGCTTGTGACACTCTGGGTTCTCACGCAGGTAAACGGGACCAACATTTCCAGATGAAGAGGAGGGCTGTGTGTTTATTTTTCATATTCCCAATCATGTATTCCAACAGTTGCTGTGATCCTCCCATGTAAAAAAAGACCAAAATGAAACAAATCCTGGTTTGAAGAGCGGCTAACTTCATGGGAGATGGAACAGCAGCGCACATCACTCCTCTTCAAAGCCACACACAGTGGATACCATAAAAGAGGCTTAAACGTTGCAAGTGCTGTCCAGTGCTGGAGGAAAGAGCTGGAAGGAGCTGGAGGGCCTGAGAATGAAGTAGAGCTGGGCCTTAAGGATGAACAGAATTTTAAGAAGCAGAGAAGAGGGCAGGGGGCAGGGGTGCACGGGTGGGGGGAGGGTACTGGGCCCAGAGGGACTTCACAGACAGAAGAAAAAGCAGGAGTAAAAACGGACAGCCCAAGGCAGGCTCTGGAAGGAAGGCCCAGGCACCAGCAGCCGTGCACATGGCGGAGGAGCTTGACAGCCCTGGGAACTCCACAGGTGCCCTCCTGCCTCTGGAACGAATGTCCCAGTGAGGCTGTCGTGGGTCTGGGGAGGGTGGTCATGATTTGTGTGCTGAAGGTGACATCTGGTTAGGGACCAGTTGGGGCCCTAGTGAACGCCATAACAAAAACGAACTCCAAACAACAGGGGCCTGTTTCAATCATCCAGTAGCTGCACTGTGTCAGCTAACCTGGCTATGTTAAAAAAGAAACCCAATTCAAAATCAAATGTCCCATCACACAGGTGAGGCTGGGCAGCTGACTGTGGAAGAGGGGAAGAACACTGGCACAAGCTTCTTACGGACCACAAATTCCCCCAACCCCATTCACCGCTGAAGATGAGCTTCCCACTTCCATCCTGGCCCCCAACACCTGGCACACGCAGCCTCTGCGCACAGCAGGTCCTCAAAGAATGCTCGCTAAGGGAACTATGGGCTCTAAGGTCAAAGTCAAGGCCATGAAGAAGCTAAACAGACCAAATAGACTCATTTAACGTTCTCAGCTCAGCGTTTGTTTTACTTATTTTCCTAAAACTAACCTGTTGCTAGAGTTAAAGGTAATTTCTCCCATACCAGGACTATTTTTTAATTATTGCTGTTATTACTTTTTGATACGGAGTCTCATTCTGTTGCCCAGGCTGGAGTGCAATAGCACGATTTTGCTCACTGCAACCTCCGCCTCCCAGATTCAAGCGATTCCTGTGCCTCAGTCTCCCGAGAAGCTGGGATTACAGGTACCCGCCACCATTAGCCATGCAGGCTAATTTTTGTGTTTTTAGTAGAGATGGGGTTTCGCCATGTTGGCCAGCCTGGTCTTGAACTCCTGACATCAGGTGATCTGCCTGCCTCAGCCTCCCAAAGTGCTGGGATTACAGGTGTGAGGCACCAAGCCTGGCCAGGACTTTCTAGTTGATGGCTTTCTGCTAGACAGAATGCACAGCTCAGGTGCAAAAAAAGGCCAGGCACCTGAAGCCCTGTAATGGTGTGATACCCTCAAACCATCAGACATGCTAGGATGCTGGGTGCGTGGTAGTAAACGTCTGTTTCCACGATGTGATGTAATACAAGAAACAGAGACGTCAGCATTGACTGCATCTGTGGAATACCGAAAATTCAGACACAGTGAATATGAGGGTGTGGCCACATCACAGAGGGATTTGAGGGGCAGTGGGGAGGACTGTTTCTTCAATGAAATGATGACAGGATTTCCAAGTGTCCTTTGAGAGTCACGCTCTTAACACCTTGCTTCAGTAATCAATCCAATTGTGCCTCTTGAGCCTGACATAAGAGCTGTTGAGGGAGGGAGGCAGGGATCTCCTCTTTACATCCATATGAAATTCTTCCAGGAACATTTGGGAGGGGGCTATGGGAAGTGAAGCCCGACTACGGAAGGAAAGGCTTCAGTCACTGGGTTAACCGTTCCCTCTTGCTTGTCTTTTTAACAATTGACAACAAAGCATCCAGGAGCAATAAGCAAGCAGGCACACGGGTCCTAACAGCTGGGGGAAGACAGCCCCAAGCGGACCTAAACATTGTGTTTGGCCAACGGTGGACAAAGGATGGCCCCACCAGAGCATAGATCTGGTAAACGGAGGGAGGAAATGAGAAAGGTTTTCAGGTCCCAGAATAACACTTTTCTTTTTTTTTTTTTTTCTTTGAGACGGAGTTTTGCTCTTGCTGCCCGGGCTGGAATGAAATGGCCCAATCTTGGCTCACCGCAGTCTCTGCCTCATGGGTTCAAGGGATTCTCCTGCCTCAGCCTCCCGAGTAGCTCGGACTACAGGCATGCGCCACGATGCCCAGCTCATTTTGTATTTTTAGTACAAACAGTGTTTCTCCATGTTGGTCAGGCTGCTCTCTAATTCCCGACCTCCAGTGATCCGCCTGCCTTGGCCTCCCAAAGTGCTGTGATTACAGGTATAAGCTGCGCCCGGCCCCGTTTTCAACAGAAAATGCAGATGAATAACTTCCATCCAGTCCAATCAAAAACATCCAGTGCTTCAATCAAAAAGCAAACATGCCAGGTGCGGTGGCTCAGGCCTATAATCCCAGCACTTTGGGAAGCTGAAGTGAGCAGATTGCTTGAGCTCAGGAGTTTAAGACCAGCATGGGCAACATGATGAAACCCTGTCTTTACTAAAAATACAAAAAAATAGCCAGGCATGGTGGTGTGCACCTATGGCCCCAGCGACACAGGAGGCTGAGGTGTGAGGATTGCTTACACCCGAGAGGTGGAGGTTGCAGTGGGCCGAGATAGTACCACTGCACTCCAGCCTGGGTGACAGAGCGAGACCCTATTTCCATTTAAAAAAATAAATGAACAACAATACCAAAAACTAAAGCACAGCCCTCATTAGGCTGTTTGAGAAATCTGTAGAGCTGGGCAGAAAGGGAGCTCTGCGGAATGAATGCATTCGGGCAAGCCTGAAGCAGCATTAGCACTTGCTGATGCTCTCACAACTCCGAGAGCACACCACCGCCAGCTGTGCAAAGGGCAGGGTGGGGTTCTACGTTCACCAGTTGGGGAAGCACGTGCTACAAACAAGAATAGGCTGGATTCTGCATGCATCATAGGGACATGAAGGGAGACTGAACTGTACCTACCTGATACTCAGGAATGGACCTCACTGCTTCCACGACAGCCACGGACATCAGATGCTGGACAAATGGGATCCTCTGTCCCAGCTGGGATCTCAGTGGGATGGAGATGAGCAGAGTAGAAAGGGCACATCCTGTGGGGCTCAGCCACACATTCCTTCCCCGTCCTGGAATACATGCCGCAGTGGGAAACACGCTACCTCGCCACGCGGACAGACGCAGACACACATATCATGCCAGGACCACACACTGAAGAGACGTCCCACTTAAATAAAGCTGGACTTATTACAATGCTTGAATATGCTGGGCTTAACTCAATAAAAGAAAAGCTTTTTAAAATCGAAAGCTCTGTGGCTGAAAAAGTTTCCAATAATTAGCGTAACGTTTTGCTTCTGTGAGCCTATCATTTGTGCCTTGATGACTCAGAGTCTTAAGTGTCTGAACGTGACTATATGTTTAATTCCCACCATATAGTCCTGAAGGCAAACACAGAGACATTGGGAAACTGAGCTGAATCTATACGGATCCATGAGAGGTCCTGGAAGCCACTGTTTAGAAGTAATTCCTATCATGGCGATGGTTACACAGCCCAGCAAATACGCTACTAAATAATAGCCACAGAGCTGTATACTTTATTTATTTATTATTATTATTTTTTAAGGTGGAACCAGGTTGGAGTGCAGTATGTGTGATCTCAGCTCACTGCAACCTCTGCCTCCCGGTTCAAGCAATTCTCCTGCCTCAGCCTCCCAAGTAACTGGGAATAAAGTGCCCACCACCATGCCCAGGTAATTTTTGTATTTTTAGTAGAGACAGGGTTTCATCATGTTGGCCAAGCTGGTCTTGAACTGGCCTGTGACCTGCCCACCTTGGCCTCCCAGAGGTGAGCTACCACGCCAGCCAAAGCTGTATGTATACTTTAAATGGAGGAGTTCTATTTCAATAAAGCTGTTTAAAAAGGGATTCCTGATATTAACTGCATTATTACTTATCTTTCTTCTTCTTCTTCTTCTTCTTCTTTTTCTTTTTTTTAAAGAGACGGGCTCTTGCTCTGTTGCCTAGGCTGGAATGCAGTGGTGCAATTACAGCTCACTGGGCTCAAGTGATGCTCCCACCTCCAGGCTCCCAGGTAGTTGGGACTACAAGTGAGTACTACCACACCTAGCCAATTTTTGTATTTTTTTAAGAGATGGGTCTTGCTAAGTTGCCCCAGCTGGTCTTGAACTCCTGGGCTCAAGTGATCTTCTGCCTCGACCTCCCAAAGTGCTGGGATTATAGGCATGAGCCACCGTGCCTGGCCTACTTTTCTTAAAATTGAAGTTAGAAAAATAGAAGAATCCAAATGAGAGGAAGGGTTCATCAACGTTCTTCTAGAATGTCTTTAAAAAAAAATCCACATATGGAGATCCATAGCTTCTGATAAAAAGACTTTTTTTTTTCCCATTTGAATTATGTTTGAAAGACACGTTCAAGAGAAAGAAGTGAGAACGGCAGATTTCTTATTTCTTTGGTTCTTATGAAAAAGTCGTAAGAGTCTAAGAGAGAAGCACATTTGGGTGGGTGTGGCACTGGCTAGAGGCAGGGAGGGGCTGTGCCCCGGGAGCAGCCCCTGTACAGGGTCAGACCCCGGATGGGTTGGGAGGATGTGAGCTCTCGCCTCTGGGATCTGCAGGTGGTGATCCCTGGGCAGTGCTCTGCTTCTCTGTGGTCACAGTGTGAATGGGCATGGTGCACAGCTCACCACGTACATGCAAGGCCAGAGCCAGCTGGGGTGGGAACCGGCACACAAAAGGCCTCCCACATGATGCTCAGTTCAGACAGAGAAGCCTCCTTATGGAGAACTTTCAGGAAAATAAATGTCTCTAGAGCACAGCAACGATCCACAGATTGTGAGGCTCAGAATTCATGTAGGTCACATTTGCCATCACAGGCAAACTCCCAGTGATTCATAAGCATTATGATCAGAAGAGAGTGCTTTAGTTCTACTAAGGCTGAAGCTTCTGATCACTCCTTCCCTCTTCCTCTTCATTCCAGGTGGTTATAAACATAGACACTACTTCTAACTTGAGTCCCCAGATGATCAGCACATGCATTCAATGGGCTCCTGGGCCACAAGAGTTGCAGAGTTTAGAAAACAAAAGTAATGGCCAGGCACGGTGGCTCACGCCTGTAATCCTAGCACTTTGGGGGGCCGAGATGGGTGGATCACCTGAGGTCAGGAGTTCAAGACCAGCCTGGCCAACATGGTGACACCCCATCTCTAAAAAAAAAAAAAAAAAAAGAAAAAGAAAGAAAACAAAAGTAACAACAATGATAACAAAGGACAACTGACCTTTGCCCTGGGTCTGCCGGGCCGCGATCGCTATTAAGCCCATTTCCTGCGGCATCTGAAACATCAACCTGCGAATGGGAGAGAGACTGGTCAGGCCGGACATGGACACACACGCGGGCACCGACGACTCACACAGGAGGGACACTGTTTACGTGCATCTGTGGGTGTGTGGCCACGAAGGGCCAATTTTGGTTTCCACTGGCCTTCAGGAACGTAGAGCCAGGAGGGATAACACCCTCCTTTTTAACCTCAGTGTGAGAACGAAAAGAGATGAAGAAAGCACCTTTTAACATCAAAAAGGAGCCTGGGAGGGGGCGTGTGTACCTGCCTGAGCCGTAACTCCATTTATGTAAGACTCGGTTAGATTATATTGCATCAGAATATCCTAACACGTCCTTTCTCCCCTCACCCCCAATGTGTGTACCTTCTTCCAGTGACAACTAGCAATTCCTGACATTTGTTCCTACTTAGGGTGCGTTTCTGTTCGAACACTAGAACACAATCATAACAGAAGTTTCTGATTATTCAGAAAACCAATATGGTGGCAATAAAGCCGTTTAAAAGACACACCATCCCCTGAGAACTAATTATGATTTAACTATGGTAAATAAATCCACACCTTCTGAGGACGCAGGAGAGGCCTGCATCATTTTAGTCTTCAGTCCTGCTTTTCAAATGGTTTCATTTAAAAGAATACAAACATTCCTTTGGGAGATAGGTAGAAAAGTACACTACATCCCCACCAAATGAGTCGATATTAACTTTTTTTCAAAAAAAGGAAAGGAAAAAAATCACACAAAAAAACCCCACTCAGAATTTCCTGTAAGCTGTGCTCCCCCTGTTTTAACACCACGGTATCCCAGCAGGGCCGCCAAAAACAAAAACAAAAACAAAAACAAACCCACACTGCAGTAGGACAGTTTCTCTCTGCACGCCCAGGAATTGCGCAACAGGTGCTATGCAGGCGCAGCCCGAGGTAGGATTCATCAACAGGGCAAAGATCAGGTTTAGCCACTTTGTCAGTGCAGATGAGAGGGCCTCTTTGATTTTTTCTTTTTTGGAAGGAGGGGGGCAGCCGGGACAGGGATGCAGAAGAGATGGCATTTTGCAATAACATAAAGTCTCTAATAATAAGTCTCCAGGCTTCCACAGTGGCCCTACTGAGGACAAAGGAGCTCTAAAGAAAGACCCCGCTCTGAGAAGCTCATCATCCTCCCCTCCCGGCTACAGAAACTGGGTGGAACTTTACAAACGGCTGCAACTCGGCAAGAGAAGACAACTACTCAAAAGCAGAGAAAAACAACAGTGTCCATTGTGCGCCGATGGCTCACAGAGCTCCATCTGATGGCGTCTGCAGACCCCAGTTAGGACAGGGGGAATCCAGAAGACCCTTCACTTATTAAGGGCTGATGAGACAGCTGTCTTCCCACACGGCTGCTGGCAGGCACAGGACGCTCTTGGGGAGCAGGCCGGCCTCGCCGCCCATGTGCCAGGCCCACTTCCATCTCACATGAAGTACAGCTCAGAAGTATTTCTCTTGGACACCATGAATAACTCATTGAGATCGAGTGTGCTATACAGCCCTGGGCTCCAAGAAGAAAGCGTACTTTTCTTGTGTTGGACGGGCAGAAAATCCGAAGAAGGAGCCTTTGTCTGCGTGGGGAGTTAACATTGTCTTCCCGGAACCTCTGCTTTCTGGAGGGTCCAGCAACCCTTCACCTGGCTTCCTAAGGCCCAGCACTCTCGAGGTGATGGGGCGGGGGCTGACGGGATAATTTAGCACATTGTGAGCAGATTGCAAAGGCCATCTAGGACATTCTGTAAATAAACATGTAGACAGTAGACAGTCATAGGCTATTGCCGGGGATGGTGATGGGAGGGGCAGGAAAAAGGTTGGTTCAGAAACCAAACACAGACTTCTAGAACAAAGAGAAATGATTAAGGGAACATATGCACTAAACTGCTAGAGGTTTGGCAGCAGTTAACAGGGCATATTAATGAGAAGAGGGAGTCTGTGTTGAAGGCCAGGAGGAAACTCTGCAAGGAGGGAGACAACAGGGGAAGGAGCTAATAATGCTCAGCTTGAGACAACCGGAGGCCGCCAGATTTATTTGTGCTATCGGAGATAACTCTGTGGCCAAACCGCATGGCTCACGGTCAACAACGCAGCATTTATAAACCTTGTCAATTCTGCATTTCTGAAAATGAAGCTGCTTGAGCTTGCTTAGCAGAAAGGAGAGACCATAAATGCATTTCCATGCATCCTTAGTGGATGATGTCCTTACAAAAAGAAAAGAAAGAAAAAAAGGAGGAGGTTACATAATGATGACCTCCCTGCCTCTGTATATTTTCCTTCCTTGCTGGCAAAGGTTGCGGAATAAAAGCTTTCTGTGAGTGGCGGCCGAGTGCATTCACTGTGGAACCAAGCGGCACTCAAGAAAAGCGCTCTGTTTTGTAATCTCGTGCTGAGTCTGAAACATCCGGAGCCCCCTAAGGGTCACTCTGCAAACAAGATAGCCTCCTGGCCACCAAAGACAGCCCAGTACCCACGGAGGCTCTGCCAGTGGTACTGCCCTGATTGTCACATGGTCCTTAAAATCAAGCTTCAACGATTGAGACTAACCTAAAGACAGGCCAGCATGAATTAGCGAAAAATCTGAATGAACAAAAATGTAAATTCAGACCAAGTTCATCTACTTCGGGGTTCTGAAACTAAGAAAATAGTCCACAATCACCACAGCCTGAGCTCGGGTTTCTGGCCATATCATCAAGGTCACAAAGCTGCCTCCAGAGCTAGGCTCTCAAACAATGCTGCACTGCAGAATCGCCTGCAGTTTTAAAACACAAAGCGAAAACAAACTGATGCTAAGATCTCGGATCCCCTCTCAATCCCAGCCTCCAGAGCCAGAGCTTTGGTGTGTCCCAGATGATTAGAATGCAGCTGGTCCAAAGACTGGGGTTCTAAACCACTGCTCCCAAAGCTATTTTTCAATGACTTTTCTTTTTAACTACATTTCTTTTAAAAATTTTCCAGAGCTATAACATCAAAGAGGCAGTAATTCTCCTCTGGTTCCTTCAATGATTGAAATGAAGCATCGCATTATTTTGATATTTACTAGGGCAGCACAACGACAGTCCCACAAATGGAGAGCTTTCATTTTCTAGAGCCAGAGTGGGGTTGGTAGCTGGGGACAAGGAAAAGGGGTAAAGGAACAAAGAATAGGCATTCCGACACAAAGTGTGCACCAGAAGTGCCATTACGTGGAAGACAGTCACTTAGTGTGTCTGAGTCCCTGCTGCTATTCTGTCTCCCTACAGTGGCTTCATTCATGATCACCAGATGTCAGGCCTACCAGATGTCGTTTTTAGCCTCATGAGGCACAGTAAGGGCTGGTGTATCATGCAAGCAAACACACGCACACGCACACACGCACCCATACATATATACATACACACACACTCGACTGCCACCTCAATATGGCAGGCTTCCAACAGTGAGCACGCCAGCCAACATGGCACCATCTTTCCACTCACTGTAGGATTTCTCCAAGGTCTCATAAATGAATGAATGGACAGGCCACAGGGAAGGGGTGTCTTCGGCTATAGATCTCAGGATTCCACACTGCATGCAAGCCAGTGGCTCCTTTGACTGAGCACCCACCCACATGCTGAACCCTTGGTATGCGCGATGCTCATTTAAATGTCCCAATGACCCTCAAGACATGATCATTGCCAAGTAGTCTCGTTTTACTGCTGACAAGTGGAAGCTTCACGGGAGAAGCAGCCTGGTGAGATCACAGAACAGTCAACCAGGTTTGCCTGGCTCAGAGGCTTATCTTCTGACTCACTAGGAAAGAATCTTTTGCTTTTATCAAAACAGAATCTCAAGGTAGAAACACCACCAGCTTTTTCTTTTTTTTAATGAAACAGAGTCTTGCTCTTCGCCCAGCCTAGAGTACAGTGGCGTGATCTTGGCTTACTGCAACCTCAGCCTCCTGGGTTCAAGTGATTCTTGAGCCTCAGTCACCCAAGTAGCTGGAACTACAGGTGCCCGCCACCATGCCTGGCTAATTTTTATATTTTTAGTAGAGATAGGCTTTTGCCATGTTGGCTAGGCTGGTCTTGAACTCCTGACCTCAGGTGATCTGCCCACCTTGGCTTGGGAAAGTGCTGGGATTACAGACGTAAGCCACCACACCCAGCCAGCCAGCCTCTTAAAATGCATTTGTGTAAGTTTAACAGTCCTGGAGGTTATTGGGCTTTCTAGAAAGTTCTGGAAATTTACTTCCAAATAATAAAATCAAAATGGGGTTCTTGCTTTATCTTTTTTTTTTTTTTCCTGAGAACTGAAACAGAGTTATCTTACATTTTCAAAAAGTAAACACCACCAGCTTCAAGGCCAAGTTCATCAGTTCTGTGCTACGTGTCTGAATAGGTATCTTCCCAACTCTACGCAGTCTGCTTCAAATACTTCATTTTCCTTATGAAATTTACAGAAAGTATAATACTAATAAGAAGAAGTTTCTTTACCTACAGAGTAAAGAGGTATCTGAAACATTTGGACGAACAAAGAAACGTGAAGGTAATGAACTCCTTCCTGGAGAAGGGCGGCTCCCCCCGGCCACTGGAGCCCTTGCTTTCCACCCCAGGTACCGTCACCTTCAGGGTAATTACAAGGAAGAATGCCCTGCCTGCCAGCTGGCCTGGAAACCAGGGTGCCTTTCACTATCCTGACGTCCTGTGTGTCCCCCTCCTTTCCCTCTTGCGGCTCCCACCTCTCTCCAGAGCCTTCCCTGCACCCCGCCCTGCCAGAGATCAACCAACATGCCAGGGCTCGTTTGCCTGGGATGCTTAGCACCAGCTTAACTCTTCACTCAGTGGGACAAGGGGCCTCTTTCTTTCAGGCAGGGTTTTGCTCCTCGACATGCTGGGTTTATGGCCCTCGTGAACGAAACCTGGTTCGGAATCCAATTCTATAACGGATTTTCATTTAAATGGTTATTTTCCATCGCTTGCCCCCAATTCCATTTTCTACCCATCTCTCCTGGCTCTCTGCCTGTGGGGGCTG